GATATTATATATTTATAGAGTCAAATACTTGGTCCCTAAGAATTCTTATTCCATAAAAATTCTTGCATAAAATTAATATTTACTTTATTAAATAAACTTAATTACCAAGTAACCTTAAATCATTAGAATTACAATAAAATCCAACTTAATTACTAATTATAATTTAGGTCAAAATATAACAATCTCCCCCTTGATCTAAATTTCATCAAAAATTGATATTCAAATCTTCATCAACTTCAATCTTTACGTAAGTTGCATATTCGTAGAAGCACTATTGTCAAGTTTTCAACAACTTTAATTTTTACGTAATATCCATTTAAGTATCACTGGATCAATCAAAAATTACTCCTTTGCAATTGAATTCATTGTAATAAATTCATCTTGAATGTCTCCAAAATCGCTAACAAAATCCGCAACAATAAATTCCTTTGAAACTTTACAGGTCGAATCATAATTCTAATACCACTTGTTAGAGTTTCACTTGAATTCAAAGTGACACAAATTAATTAATATATAAATTTGAGAAAGTAAAAAAATCTAGTTTGATTAAAAGACGAGAACTTTATTAAAGTAATTTTCTACTTTATTTAGTCTCCTTTGTAATCAAGTATTTATCTCTATAAATAGATACCAAGGTTAAGGGTTAAATATTAAGCTTTTCTTTCTCCAAAATCCTCTTGTATTTTATTATTTCATGTTAGTGAAATTCTTCTCCTCTGCCCGTGGTTTTTTCTTTATAGGTTTTTCACGTAAATCTTAGTGTTATTTGTTTTTCTTTTCAATCACGTTTATTTAATTATTGATAATCATTCTGATAATTTATCAAATTTGTATTAGAGCTTCAAGTTTAAGAAGATTATGATAACAATAAAGTATGTTATTTTGTTATTTGATTGAAACTCCAGGTTCTCACTATGACAAGTAAAGATTTGGGATGTTCTTACATAATTAAATCTAGACGATGAAATAGAAGATTTGATGGGAAGTCAGTAACACAATGAATAAACGAGATAAATCTTAAAGATTGTAAAACCTTTTCTCAAATTTATTTACATTTATCAAACCAAAATTTGCAAGTTGCATTGGAGGATCAAACAACTACTTCGTTGTGGGAAAAGTTAAAGAAACTATGCATACAGAAATCGTTGACATGTAAGTTACACCTAAAGTAAGATTTTTATTCGCTCAAGTTGGTAGAAGATTATTCTTTTGAAGAGCATTTGACTGCATTAAAAGAAATTATCTATGATTTAGGAACTTTAGATGTGAAGTATGATAAAAAAAATTTAAGACTAATCCTCTTATGTTCACTATCCCCTTCCTACTCATGTTTTAGAGACAATCTTGTACAGTTGCGAAACACTCACTCTTAAAGAGGTGTACAATGGCCTGCACTCTTGTATCTAATTTCGAGCCCCAAATGGAGGGTCTTATGGTTTATTAATAGACTAGCTTAGATTGTGGAAGAAAAGATGAGCACACTTCTAGTAGTAAAGGAAGGGACATATTCAAATCTTCCAACTGAGGTAAAACTTGTTGCTTTTGTAAAAAAAGTCATATTAAAGCAGAGTGTTAAAAAATACAGAATAATATAAAGAGAGAGGATGAAGAACAGTTCACTAAGAGATATGGTTTTATGGATGTGGCAAAAGATGTTAAGTGTGAACTCCTAGTGTCTTTTGACGATAGTGCAATGGTGAGCGATGAGTGGATCCTTGACTTTGAGTGTACCTATCACGTGTCCCAACCGTGATTGGTTTGTGACATGAAGTTATGTCAACAATTATTGTATTTATAGGTAGTAATGCATCTTGTAAGGTTACAAGAATTGACCGTGTCAAAGTTATGATGGACGAAGACATTTTTAAAACCTTAATTGATGTTCGCCACATTCCATATTTGAAGTGTAACCTGATCTCGCTAAGTACTCTCGACACAAGATTTTATAAGTATTTTGCTAAAGGTGGAGTGTTGAAGGCTTGAAAGGGTTTGCTTGTTGTGATAAAGGCAGAGAAAGAATAGAATGTTGTATGTTTTCCAAGAGTTTACGGTTATTGGTGATGCTATTTTTGCATCATTTGCACTGTCAAATGAAGATTTAACTAAGCTTTGGCATATGAGTGAGCTTGGCAAGTCATAGTTGAGTAGAAGAGGTCTCCATGATGGTCAAGGAATTTGCAAGCTAGTTTTGTAAACACTACATGTTTGACAAACAGAGGAGAGTCTATTTGACTAAAGGGATTCACAATTCGAAAGATACACTAAACTACATTCATGTTGATATATGAAGATCGTCTAAAGTATCCTCTCACGAAGGTGTAAATTATATATTAACAATCATTGATAACTATTATATAAAAGTTTGGTGGTTCTTTCTGAATCAAAAAGGTGATGTGATGGCCACATTCAATAATTAAAAGACAATGATTAAGAAACATAATGAAATGTAGGTTAAATGTCTTTGTATTGATAATGGTGTAGAGTTGTATTTTGACGATTTAATGAGCTAAGATAGAAAAAGGGATTATGAAACACCTGACGGTTTGTCATACGCCACAACAAAATGATGTTGTTGAACAAATGAATAGAATGATAATAGAGAGGTACATTAAATGCTCTCCAATATTGATCTACCAAATTCATTCTGCGCTGAAGCGGCTTTGCTAATATGGTTTCTTCTTAACATGTCTTTATCCATGGTCATTGACAAAAAAAATTGCATATTATTCTAATTTAAAGATGTTTAGTTGTCTAGTGTATGGCTATGTAAACAATAGTAAATACAAAAAATATCTATAATATATATACAGTAATATGTTATGACCCTAGGAGATTAGAGAAGAAATTAGACGAAGAATTAAGAAAATTAAGATTTAGAGAAAAGAAAATATTCAAGAAGCTTAGAATTCATTCAATCAAAGCATGCTCTCTCCTCCTCTAGTACATGGTTTATATAATTACAGTGTACCCCTAGTTACCCTACAGCTGGCAGTCCCTATTGTACTGAATATAACAACCTACATAGATAAGCAAGATGTTTCATATCCTTAGTGGACTGTAGAACGTGTCAGGTCCATTCCCAATTCCAAATCCCTAACCCTCTCTCTGATTTCCCCAATTCTCTTGCTCCGATTCTTATCTCTTCTCCTTTGTGCATGACAATACCCCCTCCATGAAAGGATCCTTGTCCCCAATGATCAAAACATGGGATTAGTGCTTTAAGCACAATATAGTTTTCCCCAGTGATGTTTTATGGCCTCAAGTTCGTCCACTGCAGCAACAATTGAGTGATAGCTTGATTGTGCTTCTTGAGGTTAAATACACTTTCATCCAGTGTTGGGCGGAGAATTCCATCAGAACCACCCATTGCAACCTTAAAAATTATTTCTTTGCCAAAATTTAAAGTAAGCAATTCTCCTGAGTCCTCAATGCAAACATCAACAAGATTCTCAACGAGCCCACTCTTGACTAGCAACTCTCTCCTCCTTAATGAATGATCCTTCTTCCCACCTTCAGCTGAGCAGAGGCTCTCTTCGGGAATATCACTTTTACCATACTCGGTTTCTGTCATATCAGGATCACTTGTAACTGTCTCATTTGTAGGTTTTTCATCAAGGTTCTCTTCAGGAATATCACTCTTAGATGTCTTCTTATTAGATTATTTATCCCTTCAAATTTTTTCAGATCCGACTTCATAATCATTCTTAGTAGTGAGTGACATAACAGATAAATTCAGAAAGGCCAGACCATCGGAATTTAAATAGCGTGAACAATTTGGATGAAGCAACTACAACAACAAGCGCCTTCCACTCTTGTCCAAAGCAAGCTCTTTCAATGTTGCTTGGAGCTCACGGATGATGAACTTTGTTAGAAGCTCGGTGTCATCGACCATAGAAACAATGCCAACGAGTACCATGCACCCACATTGATAATGTGTTATCTTCCTTATATGGCATTTCATTCCTTTGATGATTTTCTTTCTTTCCTTAGCACTTCCATGCTTAACGCATAGCATCCCAATCTTAGATTCATCTCGGGTATGGATCATACGAACTAGGAGTGGACCAGACAGTTGTTGAATTATATCCGCAACAGAGGACTGATCAGCTATGTTCAAATACTCTACTAATACCCTGTATATAATCGAGTGATCCACTATTCCTTTTTCAAGGATTAGTTGAATCACCGAACTCATGTGTCGCAAAACAGAAGATTTCTGCAGGCCCAACTTCGATATTATATCTATTAACCTGCTTTCTTTGATGGATGCAAAGTCTTTAAATAGATGAAGCTCAAAAGAATATAATTCCATCAAAAGCTCTTGTTTTTTAGAGGCATTTCCAAGTTGATATGCATGCTCAAAAACTACAGATCCAACTATGTGACGAAGAAGAGAAGCAACGTGCCCACGGAGAGTTGAGATAACCCCCACCAGCTGCTTATTAGATGTCACATCTAACATTTTCTTCACAAGATGCACCGCATAGGCATTGAACGAAAGGGTGAGAATGTGTGGCTGAAGCTCAGAAAATACATCATCCCTTTCTGTTTGCGAGCAGTGTTTAACACAGGTCTGCAGAACACGAGACGAAACATGAGAACCAGCTATTTCTAGAATCTTTCCCTTCATCTTTTGTAGAGCTTCAGTTATCAGCTTTGATCTGTTTCTTTAGCAATATTCCGACGTCTCATCTTTTCCCATAGAGATGCTAGCTCTTGTTCAAGAGTATAATGCGGTTTCCTCTTCTTCTTTCTAGCTGCTGCCAATTCCTTTGCTTGGATTTGACGCTCTCTCTTAGAAAGCTCTTTATTTTCACTATCGTAATCCTGCTTCTTAAACTTTGAATGACTTGGGTGTTCGCGTTTTTTATTTCAATGGGTTGAAAGGTTTTATTAACGGCTTGTTTGAAGGGTTTTTTTGATTGGATTGAAGCAAGTAGCTTCGGCTTCTTCGATTTCGAGCAATCTCGGTCAGTGTTTGAGCTTGAAATTTGCTATCTCTACTTGGGTTTTTGCGTTTGTTGATTCTTGGCCACCATTGAAGCTTTTAGCTCTAGAGCTCTATATCCTTCAACACTGTATGATTCATAGGATTCATCTCCAACCTTAGGTGGACTCATAACAAGACTAACAAGAATTTGACCAGAGATGTTGGAATACAGATTGACAATTGCCACTTTATAAATTTGCTCCCTGACATCTGCACCGAACCCAGTTACCTCCATGTAGCCTCCTCTTTTTTTACACTCTCCATAATAACCTTTAGAGACTGACTGAAAAGATACTAAGGATATATCATTCTCGCTATAACCCATGGACTGCAAAACCTTCTTGAAATAGTGGAATTTCTTTTCAGGTACATAAATATTTTCCTGGTAAACCTCGTCTCCCAGCAGAACAAGACCCTCTTGCTTGCAGAACTCCACAATTGTCTTCTGATTTTCCTCAGTAAGAAATTGTCATGTTGGTTTTCCTAGATTTATTACAACCAAGGCCCTAACAGTGCTGCCCTTGTACCTGGAAATCTCAAGTTGTTTCTTAAGCTTAGAGACTTCTAAACCCCATCCTGTGGCTTTATCAAGATAGTATGGAATCTCCACAGCAACAAAACCACTGCCCACTCGCGTATTTTTAAGATTGATTCCCATTAGCAATAATCTAAACTTGTAAGGATCATCATCTTCTACAAGTTTATTCCTCCCATTAAAATTAATATGAAACACCTTGTTTGTGGTCATTTTTGCTGTCAGCCGAGTAATTATCTCTTTGCCAACAATGTCATCCGTGGAAATCGGACCAATAGTGAATTCGAATTCAGTATGCTCTTTGTCTTTGAGAGTCTGGTGACCTGGTAGATCAATTCATTAAACTGTTGGTAAACTTCATCAATTAAGGGTCCAAGAGTGATCCTCAATGGCACTGATTGTGAAACAACGATTAGAGATGGGCTGTTAGGCCAGAATACATATGCACCAGATGCCTTGGAATCAGAATCACAACTGCTTGAACTGTACCACAGGTAGCTCTGCTGCATTGGTACATCTACCTTTGGTGTTGGCAATTTATCGAACACCTGGGAATCATCATGTTTTTCCTCACACTTTTTACCAGTCAGCAACTGGAAAATGTGCTCCACATCTCTCTGCTGCGACACCATTTTGGATTCCAACATACTCAACCGATTGTCCTGCTGCTGCCACCATTTAGGAGGTTTTGTGCCATCCGTTACTTGCGTCACCAAAGTTGTAAGTTCTGCAATCTGCTGTTGGATTGAAGAAAGATTAGGAGTTTCAACCATGGTGTCAACACACCTTTTTCGTCCTACTAGGATTCAAACTCTCAAAAATAGGATAGAATTCTGCTAGGATTCAACTCCTAAAATAGGATAGAATTTTGCTATGTTTTAAACTCCTAAAGATAGGATCCACAAGCACTATAAATAGCCATTGTAACTCACGATTGACAGACACGATTTACACACAAAACACAGAGGAAAGCACGGAAAATACAAAGGCAAAGTTGTTGTAAACGATTCGAAAAGGAAATAAAAGGTAGCATCTTTTTTTACATGGTTCGTTCATTTCTCGCATGTGCGTTTTTTCTTGAGATTTGGTTCGAATAACCCAAAACGTGGGTTGCGCCGATGACTAAAAAGGGGTGGGATTTCGAAGTTTCGAACCTAGATCCACCCCCGAGGCGTGTTCATTTTTTTAAAATATTTAATTCTCCCCCCTAAATCATTTTTTTCCTACTTTATTATTCTTGTTATATATGCATATTACTTTCTATTAATTTTATTATTATGTATATATGTTTTTTTATTAGTGTTATATATATATATATATCTATATATATATATATATAATATATATATTATTTATAATTTCCTATTTTGCATGTATATATACGTATTACTTTTGATTTTTTTATTATTATTTTACTTATATATATATGCTTTTACTTTTTATATATTTTACTCATTTATTTATCTATTTTTATATTTATCCTATATTTTATGTTTTTATATTCTTTTACTTGTTTTATTATTTATTTGCATTATCATTTTATTTTTATTTAGTTGTTGTTGTGAAATATTAGTGTTATTGTTTTTTATTTATATATTCTATTCATTTTATATTACTTTATTTCTTACTTAATCTCCTTATTTTATTTTACTTTATTTATCATTTATTCATCTCTTCTAACCCATATTTTGACTTTTAAAGGGTATATTTGTAAATCCGTCAAAGGTAAGTAATTTTGGATCATTATTTTATCTTTTAATTTAACTTGTTATTTTTCTTAATTAAGACAACTGGAAATTACGTAGTACCGAAATGGCGGTTCAAGGGTGCTAATCCTTCCTTGACCGTAACCGACTCCCGAGCCCGACATATTTCTGGTAAGACGCAGATCAGATAAGAAATAGGGTATCCGATCAACCCATTTATCTTTAAATAAATGATCGGTGGCGACTCCAATCCACATTTTTCAAGTCGAAGCCCAATTCCGGGGCCCAACCGAAAGACGGTTACGACAGCTTGGCGACTCCGCTGGGGACCGTAAGTGAGTAGGCTAATTTCCAGTTGTCTTTTTAATGAAAAGGGTAAGTTTAAATTTTAAGGTAACATTTCGATCCTTATTGCTTACTTTTGATTATATTTTCGAAGTAAATAGTTGTACTGACCGTTTTTTAATGATTTCAGCCCTTAAAGATTTTTCATCTAAAGGCTCTATACCCGAGCTCTGAACCCTATTTAAGTGGGGGTGAAAGCGACGCCTTCGTGTGAATTTATTTTCCGTATGGGCCTAGCAAGTAACCTTCGGGATTCATATACCTTATGCCTTCGTGTGAATTTATTCTCCGTATGGGCATAAGGGGAATGTTTCCTCTCGAGTTTAACTTAGTCCACAAGCCTGTGATGGGTTTAGGACTAAGGGTCTGGCAAGCCCAAGGGGGCACCAGCAAGGAGAACTCGGGTACCATTTTTTAGCACCTAAACCGGGAGACCATGGAGAATTAGAGCCCACCCCAAAATCTCATTCCAAACCCTAGGCTGCTTTGTTTCCTGCTTTACTTTATGTTCAAAGCATGCGAACTAGAAATTTATGCGGTTAGGACTTGTTCAAAATCAACTTGCGGGATAGAGATCATGTTCGGGTAGGAATAATAAGCATGTGAGGTAGATATCATGTGGGGTAGGACTTTCATTTTTATGATCTTTTTTTATTATTTTTTTCACCTCACTAACTCTTTTCATCTTTATTTTATTTTATTTTATTTTCATCACTTGCATCATAAAAGAGGTCATTGATCCACTAAAACGTGTTTGTTAAAACTCGAATAATCTGAATCCATGGACAAAGGTGTTGTAATACAAGAGATTAAAAACCCCGAGGTACGACTATGGTCCGAGAAGACTCAGAAGGAAAATGGAGATAGTCTTCAAGGAAGCTATGTGTCAGAGCTTGTTAGCTACGCCTCTATCAGTTTAAAACAGAATAATGTGCAAGAACTTCGAGACATATGAGATAGTTGGAAGAATGATCGGAAACAGAAGTTCAATCAACGTATGGTGACATTGCACTTTTGCTTCATGTTAAGACCAATGAGCCCTTAATCAGAGTCTTGGTTCAATTTTGGAACCTGGGATACAGTTGCTTCACTTTTAACCAGGAGGACATGGTACCTACCATCGAGGAGTATACTACACTATTGCACTGTGAAAGCATTAAACTGGAGCGAGCCTACATCAAACACATCAAGAGTCAGCCTTTCAAGAACGGACTGGTAAGATTGCAGGAGTTGATGAAAATGGGTGACTGACCGACTCCGAAACAAAGGTAACGGGCAAGACTATAGACCTTTTTTCACTAGGTCTGTATGGCTTGATCATCTTTCCGAAGGTTTTAGGATGCATTGACGCAGCCGTGGTGGAACTGTTTGACTTCCGAAACGAGTCAACCCATCACTGACCATCTCAGCCGAGACCTTTTGGTCTCTCAACCATTGTCGAAGAGCTGGCGGAGGTAGATTCATTGGATGTGTTCAGTTCCTTCAAGTCTGGATTCACATCCACTTCTAGAAGACTAATGGGGTTGCCTACTGTAGATTTAACACTACGTATTCACCTTTGAGAGAGTTCATCACCATGACAGGATATGAAGGCGCTTCAAAGAGAAATGGATGAAAGTCTTCACTCATCTACAGGACCGGGATATTACCTGGAGAGCCCCCTGGTTGTTCCTCAGTGATGTTCTTTTCAAGTGTGGGAATTCTGACACTATGACCCTATTTGGACTTTGAGGTGCAGTTGGGTATGCTCCGTTGTTGGCACTTAGACAGTATGGGGCACATCAGTTTGTCCCAGCAACATATGGATTATCTATATCAGAGTTTATGTATCACGGTGACAGTTATAAGAAGATGATCAAAGAAGCAGTCGAGTCATGGAAGAAAGTATCTCGGATGGATGTCTAGAAGATTTAGTCCGAACATACCTTTTATTGTTTTTATGTCTCTTACAAGATAAAACATTTTTGTCTGAATAAGGATTATTTATGATAATGGACACTTTTCTGGATCAATGCCTCGAACATTTCATGCATTCTTGTATTTTGCATTTTTGCCTTTTTGCATTTTCATCTACATTTTAAGCATTTTCACAAACATGAAATTAAGTCGTGAAGGGCTCGATGAAGTGAATTTAACCACATGGAAGCAAGATTGTAACAGTAGGAGCCTGATCTGATTGTAGGACAAAGCTTGCCAGGATGATCTTAAGAAAGAATCCCCATATCCTAAGGGCCACGATGTTGAAGCTGCTAGCTGTTACCACATAAGAAGCCCCAAACATTCCTCTGAAACCTGTAAGGCGCTTGCCGAAGAAGGGGGAAAGGCATATACCATTTACACTTAGAGGATTGTTTTGTTTGAACACGTCTTTGATCTTTCGCTTAATCTGTTAAATGATTGAATTTATGCTACTTTCTAAGGTAGAGCAATTGAACAAATTTTAATCTTTAGTTCTTCGAATATTAAATGAATTAAGGATTCTTTTAATTCTTCAAGAATTATTGACATTACCTTTATCATGATACAAATTCTTGAACTTTTACCTTTATCTTTTGATACACCCATACCTTTCTTTGAGTCAATAAGATCACACAACTGTCTTTTTAGACTCAAATTAACCTTTTTACCATTAAAACCCAAGGCATTGAGTTGTTCATTTGAACATAAGCATTCTTCTAAGATACAATTTGGGGCATCTCGCCGGGAGCCTGAACATTGAGACATGATGGGAGCAAGGAGCAGAAAAAACAATTCATTCGAAATAATTCTATCATGCATTAATTGCATTGTTTTCATGTGAATAGAATTAATCCTGAAAATCTATCCCCCTGGGGATACCTCTTCTGTGAAGACTTACATGTATGAAATGATGAACGACTTTCTTTCTTTATCCCTTCACAACAGGAGAAAATATATATCCCTTGCATCCCCTTTTGAGCCTATAGTATTTTTTTTCTTCTGATTCAACCCTAACCAAGGATCACCCTCCACACTAGGGGGCAAGGTGGAGAAAATCTGCTCACATGAGTGAAGACATTGATTCAGATGAGATACCGAAAGGTGAACCAAATGCCAAGTGTGATGATTCAATCAGAACAAAAAGGGAAAAAAGAAAAAAGAAAAGAAGGAAAAAAGGAAAAAACAAGAACAAAAAAGAAAGAA